ACAAACGCTCGGAAACGCGTCACTAATCCTAAAAATGGTTACATGGGCGAGAGAAAATTAAAAAAGATAAAGCTAAATATGAAGCAGTGAAGGCAAAAGCTCGTATTCGTAATAATTCAATAAAAACAAAACTAACAGAGGCAAGTTTAGTTGAATATCGTACCAAAAGCAAAATTCGTCAACAAAAATATCGAGAAAATAAAAGAAAACGTTTAATTAATAAACCTCCTCCAAGTTCATTCAAAAGTCGTCAATCATTTGGTAAGTCATTAAAAAAAGTAAATTCTTCACTTCCAAAATGTGATAAAAAAAAAAAGTTATCATTCAGCACCTTGCTGAAACGTTTGGTTTGATTCCTAAATCTAAACATCAACGTACTACAATTCAACTTGCTGACAAACTAAAAAATGACGTTCATAATTTCTATTTACGAGACGATATTTCATATCAATTACCAGGTAAAAGGGACACAGTTGTTATTAAAGAGGATGATCGAAGTAAAGTAACTTATCAGAAACGAATTTTGTTTAATAATTTACGTGAAACTTATGAATTATTTAAAGAAGAGAATGACAACGTTTATCTAAGTCGTTCCTCATTTGCTGAATTAAGACCTCCGTTTGTCATTCCAAAAGCTGCTTTAACACATAGGAATTGCTTGTGTTTGTATCATGAAAATATTTGTTTACTTTTAAAATCTCTTGATAAATACGTTGGTGGAAAAAGCTGCTCAACTTTGCAAATATTTACCGATAGTTTAGTTTGTAGTACTAATAACGAAGAATGTATGTTCAGTAGTTGTTCACTTTGTGAAGATTTTTTTACAGAAAAAATTCAGGAAAAAGTTTCGGACGGTAACGCTAAAATTACTTGGTCACAATGGATCAACGAAAATGGTCATGCAGAAAAAAGAGTTTTCAGGAAATGTTGATGAAGCAGTTTTGTTATTGAAGTCAAAAGTTGAATATTTTTTGTTTCATGTGTACATTAAACGAGAACAGTCGAAGTATTTTGAAAAATTAAAGATGGAAGTTAGTGATGAAAAGATAGCCTTGCAAGTCGATTTTGCAGAGAATTTCAATATGAAAGAACAAGATGAGATCCAGAAGGCTCACTGGAACACGAAACCGTTGAGTATATTTACGGCTTTTGTCTGGTCAAAAAGTGAAAATTTTTCTTTTGCTCTACCATCGTTAGATGTAACACACGATAAATTTGTTGTTGATTCTGCTTTGAAAATCATTTTAAATCATATCGAAACAGTTCTTCCAAATGTTGAAGAAATAAATTGTTTTTCGGATGGTGCTGCTGCTCAGTTTAAACAACGTTTTCATTTTCGAAATTTAACACGAATTGCTGATGAACGTAAAATAAATTTGAGTTGGCATTTTTTCGCAACTTCTCATGGAAAGGGTGTAGTCGATGGTATTGGGGGTATTGTAAAACGTCTTGTGTGGTCAGCTATATTGGCAGGAGGAGTGTGTCGATCAGCCGAAGATTTTATTAAGCTTGCAAAGAAAAAAACTAAGAAAATAATTCTGATTGAAATCACGAGAAGTCGTATTGATAGCTCGAAAAGTAAGCTTGAAAATCTTTTCAAAACGGCAAAATCGATACCAGAAACATTAAAAATGCATTCAGTTAAAGTAGTTGATGAAAATGAATTAGAATTTCGATATTATTCTACGTGTTCTGAAAAAAAAATATAACATATTGATAGTAAACATCTAGATTTTTTAGTACTTTTTATTTGACTTTGTTTTTCTCATTATGTTTGTATTTAGACAGTCGATGAAATGTAGAAAAGCGTTTTCTTTAATCAAGGTTCTGTTGTTTTAGGCCAATAAGACGAAAAGAAAATAGTAGAAAAAGAATTTATTGATAGAAACATCAGAAAAAAAAAACAAAAAAAAAACACCCAGCTCAAAGGAGGCCGGGTCTTCGTCCCGAGCTGGAGAAACACTAGCGTTTAAGATAACATGGACTTAAATTCTAGTGGCAAAGAGCCTCTGAGTATGTTTTAAGCCTGTAGCAGAAGCATAGCTCACTGCAGCAGGAAATATTGAGTCTAACAGAGCTATAAGAGGTCTCCATACATGCCAATGTGATCTTTAGTGGTAAGAGTCGTAGAAATATCTTTTTGAACGTTTAAACAACGTTTTCAGACGAATTTACATCAAATAAAAAGAACAGATCAATTTTCAAAAAAAAGGTGTCACAGCGTTACGAAAAACGTTACAGCGTTACGTTTGTTTTTTGCATTTTCTACACGAATAAAAATAAATAGGAGAAAACCTTTTTTACCGTTGAAAAGCTCGTTCAAAGCTCTCCAAAATTCGCTCTTGCGGTATTTAATTTGGACAGCGACTTTCGCAGGAAATTAGAACTTAAGGAAGAGCACTTCAAATTTAGGGTCCTTTTATGTTACAGCGTTACGCGACCAAAAAATCTTTCTAGAGGCTCGAGACTTCGACCGAAACTATTCATTTTTATAGCATAAATAGAACATAATAAGCTGCGTCGAATGGAGTTTGAACGAACTTTCTAGCTCTTATAGTTGCCAAGATAATTGGAAAATAGTATGTCAAAAACGTAACAGCGTTACGCTTGGACAAGCCGAATAACCGATTTCTCAACTTTGTACACAAATGAATGCTATCCTGGGAAAATAAAATAAGCTGCTTGTTGCGCATGAAAAACCATGACCATGACTACAGAATAAGGATAAGATAATCAAGATCTAATGGGAAATGTTAGAACTTAAAAGATGTAACTCACTGGAGGAATGTTTACATGAAAAGCATTTTTGCGTTGATGAAATTTCTGATTTGACATAGTTGCAAAAAATCCCATTAAAAGACGCATTGAGCGTAAATACCGAGAGTCGCAATCAGTTGCAAATCCAACTAAATTTATTTCCCTTTTAACACATTCATCGACCATGTTCACCCATCGAAGTATGATGTCTTCGGTGATAAAACGATTATCAGTGCCATAAGCCGACAACAAAAATGGAGAACAAGAATTAGATGCTACAGTGATTGGCTGAATCATATGGACATTTAGAAGATTGGATATGGCAAGTGTAGAAGACCAATGTTCGAGTTTCGAAAACGATTCAGTAGAAAATGTATTGATTTGTGGTAGACCGTCCTTCAGTGGTGGTGTAAAACCAGTAAAAGTATTTGACTGAACGTTATATGTTATTTTTGGTATAACAGAAGTACAATCTTCGGCAGCAAAAACAAACTTCGATCTCTTCGATGAAAGATAATCAGACATAGCATCATATCTAAATTCACCTTCTTGAAGATTATTTGTGCTAGAATCGATCAAAGCCTGAATTACAGTCAAACTTGGAAGAAGACCTGGTATGTTGATACGAATGAATTCGTACACGTTACGACCACCGAGAATAAAGATACAAGAAGCAAATTCACGTATAGAAGAATCGTAGGAAAAACGACATTTCACTCGATCGTGATTCATAATTATAGTTTTGATTAATGTGCGTTTGAATTTAATACGAGTATCACTTCGTTCTGGTGAATCATTCACAAAAAACGGTACAATTTGTCGAAGAATAGGATATCGATCGAGAAGAACAGCAGGAATAGTTAAATCAGTAGATGAAAAAAAGTTTCTTGTTGTTGAAATGTTTTTAAAGATTGTATGAAGTTATTGGCTTGAATAGAAAGACCAACCTTCACTTTAAAACTTCCATCATTAAGGGTGATTCCAACTTTCTTTTTTATGGGTAGAAGGTCAGGTGAATCATAATGGAAAAAAGCAAAAAGATCTTCAATATGAAGAAGGCAATCAGCCGACATCACCTCGAGGTATCGTAAAATTTCGACCATAGTAGCACCACATTGTTCTTGTACAAGTTGAAAAAATTCTTCACCACGAAGCTTGAAGACATTAACTGGTAATGTTGGAGCCATTAATGTTTTTTGCATCAAGCAAGATAGAATATATATATAAATTATTAGTGCGTGATATTGAAATCTGAAAAAGTAGTAATTTAACTTGACATTACGGACAAAAAATCAACAGTAAAACAGTGAAAACAAATAAACAGCACATAAATTTGTTTCGAGACTTAATCGTAATCGGCCTATATCAGCACATCAAGAATAAATAGTATATAAAAATAAAAATAAAAAAGAGTTGTATACAGAAGTTTAAATTAAAATCTATAACAAAAAAACAATGTCGAAAAACGAAATATTTTAATTACGTCGTTTTCTCTTTGACTTCGAAGTATTAGAAGATAAATCAGTACGACGTTTGCTGCTGTGTAATGGAGGATCAACAGAATTAAGTTCCTTTTGAGTTGATGCTGTTGACATGGATAAGTTTGAGTTTGTTGTGATCATTGACGTCGAACAATTCTCATTTACTTCAGTTGTATGTGTACTGTGGCTTTCGGATCGACGTTGTTTTTCAATTATCATCGAACATTTTTGTGATTTAAAATGTCGATAAATGTTGGAGAACTAAAACAAGAAATTCTGTTTATTACGAAGAATTATCTATAGAAGACGTAATCATTGGTTAAACTAAAAAATTAATTCGATCTTAGAAGTGTACGTGGAGAAAAAATATAATATTATCTATGAAAGGCATTCACTAACAATTATTAATCTAAAAGAACTAGATCTTTTACAATGAATGTACTCGAGAGAAATATAACCAAATAAAAGTTGTATCTTTTAAATAAATTCTTAGCTTAACTGAATTAAGCATAAGGAACAAAGTTTTTGTAAAAATATTTTTTCTGAAAGAAAAAATTATGTGCGACGCAGTTTTTTTTTATTTGAGTCAAGAAATAAATGTATTGGTGATTATTTATCTACTAAGAAAGTCTAGTGCTCTGTTGTACATTCTTTGTCATTCAGTGAAGAAAATAAGCCATTCATTTCAATCGCTTAAACATTGCGATATGAAATATCTTATTGCATATATATTCTTCAAAAATCTTAGTGAAAGGCTGAGTAACCGCAATGTTATGCTAGTCCAACGTCGCTAACTATTTAACTATAATACTTATTCAACTCAATGATAGTAGATATGATCGTGTATGATTTAAAGTGAGTTCAATAAAAAAAATGCACTTTTGCTTTATTTCAGAAATTCCTTTAGATCTAGTTTGGATACCCAAAATTGTCGCTTTGTCCAGAATTAGCTATAATAGATAGTAATCTGATGATAGATAAGATCTTTTGACTATGTATTCTATCCTTACATCTAATATTATGGCGATTGAACTCATTTGAAGATTAATGAGCTGAAATGCCACCAAGAATCTATTTTACTTTAAATACTACAAGCTATGGTCTGTCACTTGTTACACCGATTCTGAAAATTTTCAGTCAGACCAGTTTTTGATGATGGTGTTGAGAAATATGAGCAAATAGACTCATACAATCTTAGCAATTCTGATTCGGGAACTTTGTTTCATTTTTATTACGTTATTTTTGTTTTAAGTTTATCTGATTGTTTATATGAATTTCGAACTATCTTTGCACAAATGATGGCATTGGTTTTTGAAAAATTATATAGTGCCTTATAAACTAATCAGTTATATAAAGACTGCCATTGAAATTTAATGTTCTGAAAAGATATAAAATTAAACCTAATTTAAAACATAATTCTACACAAATTTATATTTAATATTTGAAAGATCAGATGTTGTATGAAATATTAAAAGAACAAGAATCAATAACTACTTACTACAAGAACTCCTCGCCCTTGACCGATGGCATGTTTTGTGCCACATTTACATCGAATAATAATACCATCTTGAGAATTGTTCAATTCGACTTTGAAATCAATATCTTCTTGAAAATTCATATTTACCAAAGATAATTTTTCACTATTTTGTTTAAGCCATTCGATAACTGTATTTACAATACGACTTTTAATTTCATATGTAAGAAGATGAGTCATTGCTGGTGAAATACCTTGGTTCAGATCAGACGAAATATTAGATGTGGATGAGTTAATGGAATAATTATCCACAATTACAGGTGGTGTTGCTAAATTAGTTGACATAATGTTGGGAACAGATGAAACTGAAGCAATAGTAATGGATTGACGTCGTTGAGATTGTTTAAGAAGTTCTTCTCGTTTCTTTTTAAATAATTTAGTAAGATTGTTAACAGACGCTTCAACACCTGGTAGAAGATAAATCGAGCCATCATTCAATGTGATACAGATGCTTTTTTTAAGATTAAATATTTCATCAGAATCGAGATGAAGAATAGCAAATATATCGTTGCACCCTAGAAATGAGTCAACACTATTGCACTCTTGAAAAGACATCAGTTCCGCCACTTTTCTTCCTGCAAACTGACGAATAAAATCATAAAATGCCTCATCTCGAAGATCCATAATATTAAATGGAAGAGATCTTGTGTCCATATTTAAATGTTTAAAGAGAAATAGATCAATAAAAGAAAATGTATAACAATCAGGATGTGTGTATAGTTAACAAATAGATGGAAATGAAGTGAAGAAAAAAATGGAGAAGAATGATTTTTTTTCGTTTCTCTTACTACAACCACGTGAGCACATCATGAGAGAACGATATCCAAGTTATTTTTATAGTGTCTACTATTCATGACGTATACTCTATATTAACAAGTTGTATGCCGATAAACAATATGCGGTTACAACATTCTGAAATGAAAGATAAGGAAAATAAGGCTATTTTTGTCGATTTCGACAGGAAATCATCTTGATTGTTGTTGATTGTCAATGATTGTCGATGATTGTCGATGATTGTCGATGATTGTCAATAATTGTCAATGATTGTCAATGATTGTCAATGATTGCTTTGATTGCAATCAGCTTTTTCCCCCTTG